AAAATTGTTTATTTAATAAACAAATGAATATTTAAACTATTTCTCATATGTTTAGGAAAAAATTTCAAAAACAACATAAATCTACACTTTCTCAACTTTAATTTAAAAAAAAAATCTTAATACCTTTAAAAAATGAGTAAATTCTCTGTTATTGAATTATATTAATTTATACTAATATAATTTATAGTAATACTAATTTAGCTAAATAAAAATTTGGTTTAGCGAAAATTTAATTAAATAAGAATTTAGTTAAATAAAAATTAGGCTTTAATAACAATTATATTAAAAAAAATTCGGTTAAATAAAAATTCTGCTATTGATAAATTTGGTTCTACGTTAAATTAATTTTCTAAAATTCAAACTTAGTACACATTGAGCGTCCAAATTTAAATCTTTTCGATAAAATAACAAATTCATAAAATTAAATTTGTTCTTATATTTATAAGAAATACAATTTTTTTTAATTATAAATTAATTAAAATTAAATTAAATAATTTGTTATTTCATCGAAAAGATTTTAATTGGTGCGCTCAATGTGTACTAAGTTTGAATTTTAGAAAATTAATTTAACGTTGAACCAAATTTTTAATAGCAGAATTTTTATTTAACCGAATTTTTTTAAATAGAATTTTTATTAAAGCCTAATTTTTATTTAACCAAATTATTATTTAATTAAATTTTATATTAGTATAAATTAGTATAATTCGATAACAGAGAATAGGCATCGTTGCGTATAGTAGCCCGTGTGGAAAAATTTTGTGGAAGTCTAGCGTCTGGAAATAGTCTTACCAGTCATAGGCAAGCCCGTCTAAACTAGTCGGTCTTGCTATTCGCTAAGAAGCGTTTCAATAGACGTAGTCGAGTTCGTCTTATCTAGACCGTTTTTCAAGACTCAAGCCAGCGACTTTACAGCGCTACTTGACAAACGTGTAGGTTATGGTCGTTTGCGGTTGTCATCGTACTTTTACAGTTGTTGCACTTTTGTGAAATTCTTTTCTTTGTAAAATGCTTTTGTAAAATGCTTTTGTAAAATACTTTTGTGAAATACTTTTGCGAATTACTTTTGTAATTGTGTACAAATATTTTTAAATAATATATTTTTTACAATTTTTACTAATTACAATTTAATATATTTTATAATTAGTAATTAATATTATTTAAATTATATTTATATATTGCTATTAATTTCAATAAAAATATTCTTTTGTTTTTTTTTATAGATTTTTGAAATTTATTTTTTTAATCGAAGAAAAAACTTTGTCACGAATTTATTTATTTTTATATTATATATCCATTTACATAACCTCAAACTAAAAAGTAGTTTTTAACAAAACTAAAAATATATTTAAAATTTTTTACACCCAAATTCGACATATCCAATTGTACAATATATATTAATTTAAATAATATTAATTACTAATTATGAAATATAATAAATTGTAAAAAATATATTATTTAAAAATATTTGTACACAATTACAAAAGTAATTCGCAAAAGTATTTCACGAAAGTATTTCAGAAAAATATTTTACGAAGATATTTTAAAACAGCATTTTACAAAAAAAAAGAATTTCACAAAAGTGCAAGAACTGTAAAAGTACGCTGACAACCGCAAACGACCATAACCTACACGTTTGTCAAGTAGCGCTGTAAAGTCGCTGGCCTGAGTCTTGAAAAACGGTCTAGATAAGACGAACTCGACTACGTCTATTGAAACGCTTCTTAGCGAATAGCAAGACCGACTAGTTTAGAGGGGCTTACCTATGACAATAAAGGCAATGGATATGGCTTTTATATAAATAGAAATAATTTTATAATTATATTAAAAATATATGTAATTTAAGAATAAAAACATTTTGAATTTAGAATAAAGGCGCGCCAAAAACATCACCGATATTAACAGATTGTCGCCAAGTAGTCAGCGTGGCCCCGTGGTTAGCGTTGTAGGTTTGCGAGTGTTAGGTCGTGGGTTCGGTGCCCAGTGCGAGCGAGATTTTTCAAATTAGATTAGGTGTTATTTCCACAGGTATTGTTAATTAATCTTAACTGATGAAACAAAAATTGTAAAAAACTTCGGATTAAATTAATTAAATAATAATAAATTTTTTTTGAAATTACTAATAATAATTAAATGAGGAGATAAGTTGTCTTGACTTATAAGATTCCAATACAACTTATCTCCTTATTATTAATAAATTAAAATCATATTATTATAATGAATACTAATGTTATTTTAATTTTATCTATAAATATAATAATACGTAATATTAATAGGATTATTATTATTATTATTACTATTATTATTAAGAATTATTGAACGCGAGAATCAAGACCTGGCCAGCTTGTCTAACTCTAGACCGTAGCATGGAACTTTCGTTCCACTTCTGATCGGGGGCTCGACAAGACCGCCTGGCCTGGGTCTATAGAGACGTTAGACAGTCTGTCCAGTGTCCTACCAGCGCCCCGAAATTTTTCCACACGGGAGCGCGCCGCGCGCGGCACTGGTGATGGTTCCAGTGCTTGCACGTCGCTCTTCAAATTCGCATAATTTACTCATTTTTTAAAGGTACTAAGATTTTTTTTTTAAATTAAAGTTCAGAAAGTGTAGATTTATGTCGTTTTACAAATTTTTTCCTAAACATATGAGAAATAGTTTAAATATTCATTTGTTTATTAAATAAACAATTTTTTTTGCATAAACAATAAAGGTTAATTGAAATTTCTATTGCATTTCAAAGAGACATAATTTTTCTATATGCTCACCAAATTTTATTAAATTTCATTAACAAGCAACAGAGTAATTGCAAATTTAGTGGAAAGGTAACAAAATATTTAATTGTTAATAAAGAATTAAAAAATTAATTTTTTTAAAAACGCATTTCAGGAATGTTTTTAATTCGGCTTCCTGCAATAGATTATGAAAAAAAGTATTTTAAATTTGAAAAGTCAGTTTTAGGTGGCCCAGTTGGGAAATTTTCACCCTTTTATGGTTTTTTTGTCTTTTTAGGTTCAGATAATTTTTTCGTTCGTTATTTATTATCTTTTAAAAAAAGAGACAGAAGATGTGTTCAAACGCAAGTGCTATTATTGTACACTGGGGGTCAATTTTCCCTAAGAAAATATTATTAGAAATAGAAACATTTGATAAGGTTGATACGAGAATCTTATTAAACTTTTTTTGGACTTCTAAAAAAAAATGTCTTTAAAATTTGTAATTTTTCGTTTATTATTTGCCGAATTTCCATATATATATTTGGCACTTCCTGTTAGTTACAGCATATATTCTATACACTTCAGTTGTAATGTATGAAAGCTCATCTAAGATTTTCTTAAGCATTCATTTAACTTCCTGCGTTACAGCTGGTCATACATAGTGGTATAAGTAAATGACATCCGGGTCCAGCTTATGCAGAATCCATTTTTTTATGCTTTTCATTCGCAAATATATATATATATATATATATATATATATATATATATATGCATAGAATGTATGTCTATGTACTCTATATGACGATGACGAATATTTCGAAAAAGTAATCTCAGGTTGACGATAATATGAAGAGCTATAATTATAAATTTTACACAAGCACACAAAATATACATATATATTCAGTGGACTCAATTTTAAGCGGATGAATTAATTCGTGCCGGTGAGAAAATCGGACCGGAAGTTGTCCGCAAAATATATAACTCTTGGATTGCGGAAATCACTATGAAAACATATATGCTATTTGTAATGTACGAATTCATTCATCTATCTCTCTACCGGGTGCTTTCAAAATTTTATTTACGAAAAGAATTATACCTATATTCATATATTTTTTTCAAAATTAAGATACTTTACAAATAAATATAAATAAACATTGAATAAAAACCTATTCGATAGACAATGAAATTAATAATAATTAATAAATATTATCAATTGAAATTTTTTTTTTATTTTCTCATTATATTGAGAACATGTATTTTGTTTCTAAATTTCTATTTAAAAACAATAGTAAGTTTGAGGAAATATTTATTTCGTTTATACTCAAAAGAAGTTTTAACTTTTTTTTTCTGTTATAAATATTAGTGATTTAAAAGAAACTTTATGTGAAGAAATGATCCTTATTAAAAGAAATCTTCTTTGACATTATCATATTTCGTTGTTTTTTGTTGAACACAACAGCTGGAAGACTTTTTAATTGGATTTCCCCCCCCCCCCCTATAATTATAAAAGAGTTGTAGATGAAAGGTTTATGTCAAAATTTGAGCACCTTGTGTATATAAGTGGCGTAACTTTTGATATGTATACTACCTACATATGTCCACAGATTTAGTGGCTCGTGCCAAATGTGAGATTATTTCGATGGAGGGGCGATGAAATTGAGGTGCGGAGAATGACGTTGTGGCGACACATCGCGGGATTTGCGGTGATGATGATGATACGCCGTTTCCTGGAACCGCCCTCGTGCTTCCGGAAATGCACTGCATTTGCTCCCGTCAAGCACAGTGGTCACCCTTACACAAACGCGATGCGTTTTCTTGTACCTACATATCATATATGAGATTCCAAATTTTGCTCTGGCGAATTAACAATTCAGAAAATAGATGACTAGAAGCGGACGAACGGAAGCGAAACTCAGAATGAATTACAAGAGTTCACCAAATAAATGGCATCTACTTATATCAAATTAATTCGTTGACAAAAGTCATTTTTTTTTGAGATAATTATTTCTTAATTAGTATAACATCAAAATAACTTGTCTATTTATCTGATTCGACATAATATGGATAAAAAAAACCGAAATAAAAGATTTAAAAAAAAATTCTATATATTATATTTATAAATTTTAATAATTTTAATAATAAATATTTAAGAAACAAATGATGTAACATTATTACAAATTATTTTTTGTATTTTCGTTTATTATTTGTATTCATTTTTTCCTAACTTTTATTTTAATTCGAAATTTTTTTTCTAAATTAAATATATATATGCACTGTGAAGTTGAGCATTTGTGAAAAATTGAAATCAATCTTCACGGGAGGAAGAAAAAATGGAGTGTATCAAAATGACAGTAACTCGAAAATTTAGACAAAACATTTTTTGCATTTTCAAATAGTTTGGCTTTAAAATAAACAAAATTTTCTTTTATTATAACTCAACAATATTGTTTCATAATGTTTTATAAACAACATTGATGTCAACCAGTCGGGAAATTTCATCCGAAAATGAAAATCAATCGAGTGACGTAGGTTAGAATTTGTTTTTTTTTTCTACAGTTTTTCATTATATTTATTATACACATTGATTTAAAAGAAATGAAAACTAATTTCATTAATATTTATATTCAAGTAAATTATTTGTTTACTGTTGAAAAAAAATTATTACACCTCACAAGTTTGTTTTACGTTTAACAAAAACGGAAATTAAAAAAGTTTTAAATTACATGTTTCCGCTAATTAGCTATATAATTAGATTATAAATATAAGATTTTGTTGAAAATTTTTTACATTCAAATGTAATTAGACGAGAGATTGAAATTAAAGATTAAAAATATGAAAAATATTGAGCAAAAAAAAAAAAAATTAATAAATTAAAGAAAAATTGAATTTACGTTTGATTTTAATTGTCAGTGATAAGTGATCAATTTTTATATCTGGTAAATTGTTACAATTAAAATTCAACACAACAGAACTGTAAATTTTCTCTCTCTCTATATATATATATATAATTGAATTGTAAATTCCCGGACTAGCGACCAACCGTGACTATGAGGATTCTCCACTTGATTCTAAAATCGAAATCAACAAGCCGGAGGAAGAGAATAAACGGAAGCTCACTTCGATGCTAAAAGAATACGAATGGGACAAGAAAGACGAATCTCAGGAAAAAGAGGCGCATTGCCAGAAGGATGTAGAAAGTGGTAGATGTTTTGTTTTATTATCAATTGTCAATGGTATACCCAAGAATAAAAAAAAAACCTTTAAACACTATTAAAGAATATAAACTGAAAGATTTATATCTAAAGACAAAATATAATTAACTTTAACTCGAAGCTGAATAAATAATTATTTCAAATAAATTTTATTTATAGTTCAAATAAAAATTTCCTTTCAAACAAAATTTTTATTTATAACAAATAAATATCGAGGGGAAATTTACTAATTAAAAACGTGTACACTTGACTACAAGTAATACACCTCATATTACCCTTATTACTAAGTATTACACGTTGTTACAGAGTATTACACATTATTACAGAGATATTACAGACTTTTTTGCGTCATTACAGTACCGTAATAACGCATTATTACACGGTATTACACGATATTACACAAGTATTACAGGAAGAGTGTACAAATTTACTGAGTAAATTACCCCTCGATAAATATTTATTAGACTCGGAGACAAATTTTTTTAATTCCATTAAATCTATAATTTGAATACAAAACTTCTTGGGGGTGTAAATTGTAAGTTTCGATTTAAATAAAATTTTCAATTTTAGTGAAAATATTACTAAAACTTTATTGAAAAGTAAGATGCAAAAAAAATTTAATTTAATAATTTTTTCCCGTTGGAATTTTACTTCTAATTATTCATTAAAAACAACTATAAAAAAAATTATTATAATTAAACAGAAAACAGTTCAAATAATGTTGGAGACATATGTCGAATATGTCATATGGGAAATTTTCCACCTTTACGTGTAAATCGTACTTTATGGGAAAGAAGAACTCATCGTAATCGTCAAATCGATATTCAAGCATCAAGTGGATCAAATTTTGCTTACTTGGGGCCATTGATTTCAGCTTGCAAGTAAGATTTTCATAATTTTATCAAAATATATTTTATATATTTACTCAAAAAAATTACTAGTAAATTAGTAATTAATTAATTAAATTATTAACAAAAACGATCTTCTAAATTTAAAAATGCACGACTTCTACTTTGCGGATTTTATTGGATGTTATTTATAGATTTTATTCTTACAGTGAGAATAGAATATTTTTTTGAAACAAGAATAATTTTTTTATTTAAAACAATTAAACTTTTGTTAATTTTTTCTTTTTTTTTTGGTAAGATTATGAAATTGCAATAAATTTTGATTAATGCACAATATATATATTTAGTTCAGTGCGAGGATGCAAACAATAATAAGTAAAGCAATTAAAAAGACATTCGCCTCGTTGCACTTGCTCTAAACGCCAATCAACTTTCCTATCACGAGACAATCAATGCACACCATCATTATAAAGTTTCGCGCTGCACGTCACGTCGAACATCAAGGAAGTCACGGTCTCTTGAGGAAGAGAAGACACTTATTCCGCAGGGAACTAAGTCCCACGCGCAAAAAACTGTTCCGTTGCTCTTCCTCGCGAATCGATTAACCAATCGATTTTTATTCACAAAAGAAAACACTTCTGTTTTTTTTTATTTCAACAAATTCTTATACCAATACATAACTTCAATATAGTATTCTTGGCAAATTAACCTGCTGAATATTAAACGTTTCTGTTTAATCCTTTTTTTGTCACGAATATTGTTTCTTTTATAAAGAGAAACTCAAAAACAATCTTTCAAGTAAAAAATGTTTTAATGAAAACAAACTTTTATTTAAAATTCTTTAATTATATTTTTTATTTTATTGATTTGAAACAAATCATTTTTTCTGAATATTTTAATTTTTAAAAATTATTATTAAAATTTAAAGAATTAAAAAAAATATATATTCAACCGAAAAATTGTCACCAATAATTGAAAATTATCATTTCCTTTTTTTGAAACTATACTGAGTCAGAATATTTGTGAAGTGTGCCTAAATTTTTTTTATGAAATTTACGTTTTTCTATTCAAAACAGTAAATAAAAAATACAAGTTTCACAGTTTTGCCAAAAACAAACTAAAATCATTTCCAAAAAGAAAAATTTGGTAACTTACCTAATGTGCAACAAAAAAAAAATGAAAAATCGACGGTGAAGTAAGATTAATTATTATTTGTTTAAATAAATTGTTTATATTTTTAACAAATTACATAATATAAAAAAAATGAGAATTATTATTCGAAAGCAGTGTTAATTTAGAATAATAATGCCAAGCGTCAGAAAACACGATTTTGATAGATTAAGAAAAAATCGGTAGGTACAAAAGTTAGCCCAACTATGCGTATTTATTTAAAAAAAGATGATTTAATTTTTAAAAAAGCTTTGGTGAAATTTTAAATAATTTAATTTCAAAGAATTTGAAATTGCATTTAAATCAAAAATTCAAAATTTTGAAAATTTGCGACTGAAGCTTTTTAAATTTTAAATCATATTTTTCTTAAAAAATACAAAAAACATACAGTTGAACTAATTTTTGTTCCAATATTCTTTGTCTAATTCTTCCTTAAACTTGTGAAAATTTTCAAATTTAAAAAAAAACTGTTTAATTTATATATTTTTTATTTATATTGTTTTCAATGCAAAAACATGAATTTTATGATAGAATTTTGGCTATAGTCAAAAAATATTGGCACACTTAACAAATGTTGAATCTACTGTTAGTTAAAAATACCAAATTTTGAAATATTTTTTTTTAAAATCATTGCAGATGTCGGGGAACTGTTGGATTGGTTCACGTAGAGTGCCTTGAGCGATGGCTGACAGAATCGGGTCACATCAGGTGCGAATTATGCGGTCACAAATTTTCAACAAAAAGAGTTCCACGACACAGTATCTACCAGAGTATTGTCATTTGGTTCAAAACTGTTTTTGCAACTCGTCAGGTGATAATTAATAATTTAGTGTATAACAATTTTTCAATTCATATACAATATGGCATATTATAATTACTATTTTGATAATTATTATTTGAAATAGTAAACAGAAGTTTAATATAGCCGAATTTCAATTTAATGAAACAAAATTTTTTATGCAATCGAATATTATTTATTTATTTATTCTATTTTGTATTTATAGACTTATTAATTAATTTCTAATTAATTAATATTTATTAATTACAATAAAAATTGTATGTTTTGCCATTTAGATGATGGTGGATATTCTCTATCTTGCCGCTACTACACCATTGGCCCTATTTTCAATCTACGTGTGTGCTCTTGCTCTAAAATTGTTAGTAAAAAGGGGAATTTACGAAGTGCCATGGATGGTGATAGCAATGCTACCAACATGCTCATTGACATTGGTGGCTTACTGGGGATGGCTCATAACACTTGGAAGGTACATCGCCAGGTATTAACCCTGTTGTGTACAGCAATTACCTCATTACAAATCGTCGATTAAATTTTTTCAAATTTATAAATTATACAAAAAAAAGTTTATTAAATTATTACCAAAACAAAATATCTTCTGTTTTTAGTAAAGTAAAAATATTTTATTTAAAAAAATTAATTTTAAACAAAATTTTAAAAAATATTATTTAAAAAGTTGAAATACTTTTTAACTTATATTTCAAAAAAAAAAATATATATATATATATTTTTTTTTTAATTTGAATAATTTAAGAAAATTATTTCAGATTTCACAGTAGACGGTGGCAAACATTTTGGCGGCATAATTTTATCGTGAGATTGATACCCGAAAATGTCAATGAATTAACGAGAGGTGTAACGAGAGATGATTTGCCCGATAATGCAGAAGAAATGGAATTGGACCAGTGGCAAGAGGAGGATGTTAATATTTTTTTGAACGTAAATTAACGTCATATAAAGTGAGATAGACATCTTTTGCCGTGAATATTTGCGTATACTGGACTGGACTCACCATTTGCAAAGTTATATACACACAACACAGCGACTCGTTTGATTGCATTTCATTAAATTTACCCTTCCTTAATCATCTCGTTAATTAAAGACCATCGCTCGTGTACAGGAAATAATTTACGGATGCGCAAAGATGCTTTAACGTGTAATACTGATTGGCCATAAAAAAATACTATGCAAAAATTATTCTCCCCCCCAAAAAAATCAAGAATAAATATACTTATTTTCAAAAGAAAATATGTTGATTTTAAAAATTTGTTATTTATCACTTACTTAACTAATTTATAGTAACTTAAATACATGTACATTTTTTAAATCTGTTATTTTTTTTATTTCTATCTCTGAAAAGAAACAGTTATTATTTTTCTTTGAAAAACAAATTTATTTTTACTTTTTTCAATAATTTATTAGGTATACATATATATTTTTTTTACTATATTAATTAATAATTTAATTTAAATTAATTTATAATTTATTATTTATAATTAAAAATTTCAATGAAAATTTAATGGAAATTCAAAATTGACATACAGAAAATTTTTAACAATGTCACTTTTAAAGAAAATAAATTTTACGACTGTAAATTTATTAGCAACTTATAGAGGGGACTTTCTTCTCGATTCTTTCTATAGTAACCGTCCCTTATTCTTAATTTCCCTTTTTAGCTCTTCCGTTGGTAACTCTGCCCTAGCGTTCATTAAAAAACACCAGATTAAATTACTGAAGATTGTCAATTATTTTATTAGTGAGCATTTATTTGATCGTCCTTCTATATGATCACTGCGCTCGTCTTTTTAAAATATATAACCAATTTTTTTCCACCCTCAAGATATAAAAATTTCTTCATAAAAATATTTAGTAAACAATTTTTTTTAATTATTCACACTTTTTAATATTACTATAATACCTATCACATAAAATTAGAATAAATATATTTTTTTTTTAATCTTTAAAAAATTATTTTAATTTGAAAAAGATAAAAAAAAATAATTTTTCTTCTTTTCTTTAGTGTTTTACTTTATTTGACATTTGACGTTTTATGTAAATCATTTAAGAATTCCTAGAAGGATAATGTTCGACACGAGAGCTTAAAATTCGAGCGTCTATTCTTGTGTTGTAAAATTATAAAATATTGCCAATTACTACTCTATTCGCACTGGTGAAATTTATAGTCAATGATAAAGGTATCTCGATACTGAGCACACGAATAAAATACAAAGAAAACATAAGAAACAACATTAGTTTTTAAGCATGCAGAACTATAAATTTTCTCATTCTCCAAAAGAATGACTTCATCATGATTTTCTAGATCAATGTCACATTTTATATTTTTATTATTTGATTATTTATAACTGCCTCATCATCACATTCCTCATTTTAAAGACCGTAACTCTAACTAATTTATAAATATTCGAATTCATTAAAAATTAAATACATCGAAAAATTTATTTGTTTCAAATAAAATTTTTTGTTTGGCACAAATAACATTTTATTTTGCGCGAATAAAATTTTTATTATAGAACCAATAGCAATTTAGAAGAACTTGTCCTTTGACTTGATGATAATTTCAATAAATAACATTTGAAAATAATAATAGTTTGTATTTATAAAAATAAAATTTGTAGTTAAAAAATATTTAATTTAATTTTAAAAAAAAATCCTCCACCGTGACAATGTGACAATGGCACATTGCCGTGACCAGGATTCGAACCTGGGTTACTACGGCCACAACGTAGGGTCCTAACCACTAGACGATCACGGCTACTGGAGGAATTAATGAAAATTTATTATTTGTAAAAGATCGATGCAGGCTGCAATCTACTTGGTCCATGAAGCGTGACTCAGCTTCACAGACACACACACACACATTGAGAGTGTATTGAGATAAAAGTCTATCTAGGGAAATGCTTTCGTGGCAAGAGAACTGGTTTAATACGTCTTCACAGCGTGAAAGTATTCGCGCAAATGCTTTTAATGATTCTAATATTTTTCAAAAATTTTAATTATTACAACTTCAGTTAGCTTAAAAATATTCTGTTTAATTTGTCTACTAATATTATCTATGTGTCTTTCAAATGAATATCTTTTAAAATCTATTTCTATATAACTAAAAAATGTGAAATAAAAAATTGAAACATTATAATTAATTTTTAAGTTAATTGCAAAACATTAAAATATTCTATTTAAATAAACTGTAAATATTTACGGTGTAATAAAATAAATAATAATAATAATAATTTTTTTTATTAAGTTTTTTTAAATTTAAATATCTAATTAAAGCTTCTTCTTCATCGATTCTAAAAAACATTTTCATTACAAGAAAATGTTGTTATTTGTCAATTGTTAATCTCTATTTTTATAAAAAAGCCATTGTACCTAAAAAGAACAGTATACTATAATTATTATTCACAATATTATTTGTTTAAAGAAATGAATAAATTAAAAATAGGGTAACTGCACCAGTGGTGGATCAGTTAAGCCCCTTAACTTTCTTATTTTGACTTTGAAGTTCTGTATAGGTTGCTTTTAGACAAATTCGAGGTTATTCTTTATAGTATTATGGACCAGATAGTTCCAATAGACATTTCCTTCCAGGTTAGACTTGATTTTGACACCTACGTTTACTTTAATGCTCCATCAAAGATAATTTGTCAATGATCCTATTCTGGATCACTGTTTGCACCAGTCATGGTTATAGATTGCTCCAGTGGTGGATCACTTAAAAAATCATACTAAAAAACATTGCATTTCAAAATTACGAGACTGAGACGTTTTGCAACTTTTATAAGGCTTTACGGACAGATTTTCAAATTCACTTTCCTATCCATATCCCCTCCTCTTTCATTTCTATAGGTATAATGTGACTAAATGTTAATTAATCATCCTTTTATTAGAATTTTTGGTAATAAATAGAAACTCTTAAAGCTTCAGTTTCAATGATAAATAACATTTATTAATTCTGGGTATTTTAATTCAACAAAAATTTAACAATTTGAAATCAGGTGTTAACAATTAATAAACATTTGAATTAGTGTTAACTAAAATTTGACTCATAAAATTTTCAATAAAACAAAACTAAAAGTTAAATTAACGTTAAAAATTTAAAAAAAAAATTAAATTCACAAATTTTTTAATTAAACAAAACTAAAATTTGAATTTATGTTAAAAATTTTAGAAGATAATTTAATTCATAAAATTTTCAATTAAACAAAATTTAATTTTATGTAAATAATGTGGAGCGTCCACAATGCGTCAACAGGCGAAAAGTAGGACTGATCCACCACTAGATTTTGTTACTTTTTTGGTTCCAGTCGTGGATCACCCCAAAACAATGGACACGCGCTACTTAAAGACGTAAATATTGTTCTCAGGGCTCTATGGGGATGAAACGAAATGCCTCCTATTGTGAAAAGAATTAAAAATTGTCCTAAAATGGCTCCTAAGCTTTCTATTCCAAAATATACTCTTAACTTACATGCTAAGGAAAACTCTTGTTTTCTGTCACCACTTTAGTAATTGTTGTCTTGCTTTCTTCGCGATTAATTTAAAATTTTTTTTAAATTGTAATATTGATCTGTATAACTTTCTTAACAATTACCGACACTTGCGGTTCATTTACTTACAAACGTGTAAACACAAATGACCATTTTCCTCGCAGTTGATCCACCACTGGTGCATGATCCACCACTGGTGCAGTTACCCTAAAACAATTTTGTTTACATTTCTTTAAAAATTTGAAAAAAAACACTTATATTTTTAAGACAAAATAAAACACAGAAAAAAACTGAACTCAAAATAAGTCGTGTAGGCGGCTCATTTTGATGTACAACAAAAATGAGTCAGGTTGGTGGCGCCATTTTCTATGTCGTTTAGCATTGACTCATTTTGAGTTGCAACAAAAATGAGAATAGGTTTTTTCTGTGAAGCGAAGAAAAAAAAAACCTCCGCCGTGACAATGTGACAATGGCACATTGCCGTGACCAGGATTCGAACCTGGGTTACTACGGCCACAACGTAGGGTCCTAACCACTAGACGATCACGGCTATCGAAGGAATTAAAGAAAGTTGATCAATTTTAAAAGTTAATGATAAATACAGCATGAAAATGTGTTAACTATATGCAGCAAGCGGTGAAAGTAAAAGGCATAATCAGTAATGACGACAGAGATACGAATAAAAGAATGAAACACAATAATGAAAATATAAAAAAGCTAATTTTTAATACACGGAAAGAAATTTAGTAGCAATATTTGATAAATATTTTTACCAATAGTCTTTTTAGTAAATATATTCCAGAAATTGAAATTATTATTTCGTAAATTGATAAATTTATACGAAAAACCAGAAGTAAGTTAAATCGACGCGCACTTCGTTATTTACTAAAATATGAAAATTTGGAAAGATTATTTCGAAATTTGTTTAAACTATACTAAAAATTCGAAGTGGTTCAGTCGTGACAGATGACGACAGAAACACCAACAGATTCTACGCCAAAGTTTTATCTCTTTCTCATCTCGAGGATAGACGAGGATATGAACTTTTAAATGCACACACACATACACCGCATTGTTTTACATCGATTGGCTTATTTTTATTCCTAACCTATACTAACGATAATACGTATAACATTCGCAGAATAACGCTTCATATACAAATTTACGCTCATGTGAAAAACTGATGTGACCATTCTTATATACTAACCAGACATATTTTTCACCGCTTATGAGAAAGGTGAAATTATATCAAAACATGTTTAAAAATATAAATAAAAATCATTATTTATTGGGAAATAATTAAATATTTTATTATTTTTTGAAGAACAATTTTTTTTATTGATTTATTGTAAAATATTCAAAATTAATTATATAAAAGAAATTCAGGTCTGTATCAAGATCATGGTAAAAAGTGGCTTGTCTAAAGAGCTTCGTCAGTCTTCGTTACCACTCGGTGAGGATCGGGCAATTCCAAACGTTCAACTTCGGCAAATTTCGTCGAATCTCGTTAACTTTGATATTTCTTTTTCAATTTTCATATCAAATATATCAAAATCTGAAATAATTATATCATTTTATAGAATTTTAATTACGAAATTTGAAATATTTGGTTAGAAAAATTGATAAAGAGCTTATTAAAATTTGACATTTTTGTGTTTCAATAAAAAGATTTCAGATTTCGTAAATATTATATCAAATTTTCTTTCCAACTATATTAAATATTCTTATTTTAATCTCAATCATTCTTAAAGATAGTATCGAAAATCGTTATCATGCCAAAATGTTCCGCAATTGTAACCAAATATACTAAAAAGTAACACCATA